CATTTTGTGTTTGTATTCTTCAGGAAAACTGTCTGTATGCTGAAATAATTGAACATAAATATTCTAAAATTGGGGGTTTGTGGATGTCAAAGCAGGATGGGGAGTGAGCACTGTGCAGCACCACCCACACTCACTGTAAAAAAGGACAGAGGGAAGAAATTGTAGCCTGATCCATATTACAGTTAAATAAACTAAAACGTTACCTTTAAAAGATAAATTGTGTAACCTCTATGTTGAATTGAAGAGTTCAAGCTTTGGGGTTAGGGAGCTTTCTGTTAAGGTTTGTTAGGAAATGGATCCTGTCTCCTATATGTACTGTTGTGTGAGGTGATGGGACTTCCTTCCCCCCCCCCCTTAGAAATTCAACGTTGTTCAGTGCTGGAGGAGGATAGGTGAAGGTGTGGGGAGCAGATCAAGTGTTTTCTGCCACTGATGAGGGGTGGGCTTTAGTACCCCCCAGTGCCTGCTCTCAGTGGTCTCCATACTTTAGTTCCTGTGGGACAGTGCTGTGAACCAGTTCTGCTCTCTGATCTAGAGCAGCAAAGTGAATAGTTTTCTGCTGAGCCATTGAGTTCTGTGCAGTCAGATGAGCATCAGTCAGTAGCAGGAACGGTGCAGGGCTGTGTGCCAGGAGCAGGGGCAGAGGTGAGTGGGGGGTTGGACTCATCCATGGCAGCAAGCTCATACATTGCTCAGCTGTGTCGTGTATCCACAGTTGAAGGCTGAACAAATAATTACACATTTCACATTTTTTCAGCCTTTCAGTATTCAATTTAATTTTATAATATAAATATTTTCTCTTTGAAATATGGTGTATGAAATATCTAAGAATAATTTTCTGTAAGTACGTAATGTGCTACCAGTGTGGAAATGAAGTAGAGTTCTTGACAGAATCTGTCTTGTGTGTGCAGTAGCAAAAGCCTGTGTGAATTTGAAAAAAGCTTGGAAACAACTAATCAGTTTTTGAAGTCATGTTACCTTTTAATTCTTGCTTGAATTAGTTTAGAGAACTAAGTTTTACTCTTGTTGGTAGGTAGTTTTTTTTGAAAGTCTTTAATTCTGGAAATGTTTTGGAAAAATCCCCTTTGGAATCCTTTTTATCTTCTGACTTCTGTGTTTTAAGGCTTTTTTCCTCTTCAGTGCCATCAGTAGCTCAGACTCTTGATTCATGTTTTGTCTCACAGGGATAAACACCATTTTTCTCTTTCTTTGTAGTTTCAAGTAGCATTTCAGGGGTTCCTGATACTTTCCATCTTCTGGTGTTTTTTTGCTGTACAGCCTGTTGTTCTTTCAGTGATTGTTGCTGTTTTGGTTTCCAAGTGTTTCAGAATTAAAAATGTTCTCAGTTCTATCCTTTTTATATATAGAGGTCCAAAAAATTCTGTGGAAGAGAGTTTTGTGGAAGAGACGAGAGGCTGTTAGCAAATATTTATTTGATTCCAAATCGTGTGCACCAGTTTTGCAACGTAGCATGATTTGGGGAAGTGTGTACTGATGAATTGTAATACTTGATATATGTGTAAATGGCATAACCCTTTTATCTTGAGTTCAAAAGTAAAAACAGACTGTATAAAAGTTTTATTTATTTAAAGCTGAACAGAAAGTTTCTTACCAAGCTGGAAAGAAGACTGTTGGATACCAGAAAAAGAATTATTTTTATCCTGTGGTTGAGAGCTTTTTTCCTTTCTGAAGCTTTCACAGAGATGGTGTGAAAACAAACACAGAGACTGATAAATGTTCTTCACTTCAAGAATGTCTTAGTGTAATTCCTCCTAAGATTTTAAAAGCTTCCATAAATATATACCAACTTAGCTAAAACTTATTTTTACAACTGGTTTTGAGCACAAACCTTTTTGGACACGTTCATGTGAACTTTGCATAATTTGAGACTGGATTGCATTCCATCTGTCTGATTTTAATTGTTATATTGGTTTTGTTTTGTTGTTGTTTCTGTCTTAAAAGCACCACTGCTTTCAAGCCCACGGCTGTGCTCTTTTGAGTGCTCCTTGCTCAGGATTAGAATAAAAATGACTGATTCAGTTGGAAGGGACCTACAGTGATCATTCAGTCCCACTCCCCCACCACTTCAGGGCTGACCAAAAGTTAGTGTGTTGTTAAGGGCATTGTCCAAATGCCTCTTAAACACTGACAGGCCTGGGGCATCCACCACCTCTCTAAGGAAGCCAGTTTTGTAGTTTAGTAGCAAAATTTTTTTTAATATATGTATTTTATTTTTATTTTTTTATTTTATTGTACAGCTGCATCTGTGAAATACAGTAAGTGATGCATTAAAAAAGCAGCCACCATATACTACAGGAGAAGTTGAGTGAAATTGGTTGTTAGTCAGTAAAACTTTTCAGAAGATAGAATCAAAGGCAGGGCATGGGACAGATTGGAAGGGGAAATCAGATCATCTTCCTTCTTGTACTGCAGGAATGGAAGTCAATAATTTTTGAAGTAGTTTTGCACAAGTACAGATTCATACCTATCTCATTTAAGTACTTCACATTTCAACTAGCAATAATGGAATGTAATTTTATAGCTGGATGTTCAACAAAAATATGTAGATGCCAATCTTCAGTTGTCTCAGGATTTTCCTTGGTCATTATAAACATGTTCAAGTACAACAGAGAAATTTGGCTCTTGCCATAGCAAATAGCTTCTTGCTTTGCACTTTGTTGTGTGTGTTGCCGTTTCTATTACTGCTGATTGCACCCTAGTGAATAGAAATTTCCATCCTTTCCCTGCTGTGTGCGAAGTCCCAGATCTGAGTGATTAGTCCCCACAGAAATCTGAGCTCCATTTTAGGACAAATGAAGTGGGTTGGCAGGTGTCTCCTACTTCCTTCTGCCTCAACATGCTCCAGCATTTGGTGCTATAAATCCATATTTTCTATATTCATACTAATATAATATCTGAAAATGTTTGACTTCTTTGCAATATCCATCAATATAGCAACAAATTTTCATGTTTAGAGTGAAACAATTTAAAAATTATTAGTTAAAGCATGTTTAAGAATTTGAAATACCTGTATGTTCTTGGATGCTTTCTGGTTGTGTATTCCTGCAGTCAGGAGGGGGGAAAAAATGTCTATTCTGTAGTCTGCGTTTTGAGATTTGGATTGAGATTTCTAAGCCTGTAATATAGAACTTTTCACTGTCATAAACCACTTCTTTGTGGTTTTTTTTCCCCCTGAATGGAGTTGGTGCCGTAATGACACCATTACCATACCCCAGAATGTGAGTAGTAGGTGATTTTTGTCAGGCGGTGACATTTCACTTAAGTACCCTGCTACTCTCAATGAACTATTTTCAGTACTCCTCTAAGACTGAGGTACCTAGTTTTACACCTGTTGCTCCTCTTCCTGGTGTTTTCATGCCTGTTACATTTAAAGACTTGTGACAGAAGGAAGATGTTATTTAACAAAGAAGTGGGTGAATATTGCATCTGCCAGATGTAACAGTCCTGTTGCAGAGGTGATGCTAATTTTACAATAAATTTAGCCTAAGAAAGGACAGATACTCTGAGGATACTCTACCTTTTGGCAGTTGAACTCGGTTAGCTAAAAGTGTAATTGTGCTCAGAGTGTGCCATGTTAATCTGATTTCGAGTGAAGGGAATCTTTGTAGTTATTAAATTAAGAAGTCCTAGAGGCTGTGTCCTTGTTTGGGCTAAGTAAGAAATGAAGTGACCTCAGGGCACTTCTTCCTCCCCCCTCCATGAGAAAATAGAATACAGGGACATAACTAGCTTGCCTGCCTCCACTTCAGGAATCCTAGAGGTGTGTAGCTGCTGTCACAAACAAGGCTCAGAGGCAAGTGTCTAAATTGCATGTTCTCCTTTTCAGTAGCTGCATTTTCCATGTCCAAGCCTCTTAATTATCAGCAAGAATTTGAGATTCCCTGCACCAACAACTGTGGTCTCTTTTCTCTTTCCTCCCTCCCTCCCTCCTATTTTCCTTTTTTTTTTTTTTTTTTTAAAAGGACTCTTATGAGTTACTTGGGCCAAGGATTGCAAGCCAAAAATAGTCTCCTGCAGCATAGTAGTAGAGACTGGCTAACTTTTGTGAATTTGAGATTACTTGGTCTTGCAATGAAATACTCAGTTTCTAAACTTCTAAGCTTCTCTCTTTGAACCTGCTGGTCTTCAGTCACTTGTGAATATAATTTTGCACTGAAATATACCCAGTAGCTTCCTTTCACTATTTGCTAAATCATTTCAACTGCTGGATTTTTGGGCAGTGTAGTGCCAGAAGTTTTTTTGGCTCCCACTTCTATTACTTGCAAAAAAAGCCCCAAAAGCACTTGAAGGAAAACAGTTTAAAACAAAGGAGAGCATTTACCTTGGGAATCACTTGAACGTGTTATCCCCAAGTGAGTGCTTTCTGCCTTTGGGCCATTACACTTTGTTTTCAGTTCAGTTTGTGTATTATGTAAACTTGAAGCTAGTTTCTGTTTTGTGAGTGTTTTCCTTAATGTGTGTTTTGTTTCATTTGAATTCTATTTGTTTTCTAATATGTCACTTTTTAGATGTTCCCACATATATTTCAACACAATTTATTTAGTTATGAAAGAATGACCATGTAAAGCCCATCTGACAGGGTAGGTTTTAGTAGTGTCATCTTGTGAACAGCTCCCTGCTGCTGGTTGATATTATTTGGCAGTGTTGGACAGCTGTCCTGTGACATTCTCTGGACTTTCTGGGACAGTAACTGCTGATGACCAGTTAAAGGGAATGATGAACTGTGACTAATCGTGAAAGCAGCTTTGGAAAACTTGGGGTTTTGTGATGTCCTTCCCTTATTTGTCAGCTTATTTGTCAGTCAGAATGTGAACATGGCAGGTGTCTCTTACGTTTTTGTTAAGATACACATTGTGATCCTTGCTTTTGGTCTCTGGTCTTTTGTGCCACGGTGGGGGTTTTGGTCACTTGGAATACTGACGTTTAAGTACATGTTATGTATGTAAAGAGTCTTATGAGATTTTTTTTCCTCTCAACAGGTGGGAAGGAGAAACCAAAAACCAATGCAGAAGAGCTACAGATTAAAAAAGTTAAGAAGAAAAAGAAAAAGAAACATAAAGAGAATGAGAAGAGGAAGCGTCCAAAAATGTACAGCAAATCCATTCAGACCATCTGCTCAGGATTGGTTTCTGATATTGAGGATCAGGAAACCAAAGGCATCATAGATGATCATCTTAAGGATTTCAGTGGGAAAAATATGGATCCCAAGAAGGACTGTGAGTCCAAGATACCAGAGAACAGTGAGTTTCCATTTGTCTCGTTAAAGGAGCCACGGGTTCAAAATAAACTCAAAAGGTTGGACACATTGGAGTTCAAACAGCTGATTCATATTGAGCACCAGCCTAACGGAGGTGCATCAGTTATCCATGCCTACAGTAATGAACTCTCCCACTTGTCTCCTGTGGAGATGGAGAGATTTGCAGAAGAGTTTGTGGGTCTGGTTTTTAGTGAAAATGAAAACTGTGCAGCTTACTATGTAATGGGTATTGTTCATGGGGCAGCTACTTATTTACCTGACTTTTTAGACTACTTTTCGTTTAATTTTCCCAATTCACCAGTGAAAATGGAGATTTTGGGAAAGAAAGATATAGAGACAACGACTATGTCAAATTTTCATGCTCAGGTAAGAGGTTATACATTTTACTTTCTAAAGTCATATAATGGTTTCAAACAACTGTGAATGGGGATTTTTTTTGGAGTAGTTGCTAATAGCTGTGCTGTGTGGATGACACAGAAGACTAGAAGCAAGGGAATTCTTTAAGTAATAAGTCAGTTCTGCAATATTGAAGATGAGAAGCCTGTTAACTGAGACATAAAATTGGATTTTATGGGGGAGGGGAAGTGTTTGCATGCCTGTGTGTGTAGGTTTCTTTGAATTTGTTTCTGTAGCTGAAACTTAATTGTGTGAGTTTTGGAGGGTTGAAATGGTTTAGCTGTGGCTGTCTTGGTGTCCAAACTGTAGTTTGTCTGTGTGAACTTCTTCATAAAACTGAAATGCTTTAATACGATGTTATACATAAAACCTGTGTAGGGAAGAATTATTTCGTTGTGTTTGTAGTTTGAGTCTTCAAAATTGGTCGTTAAAGGACAACTGGGTTGTTAACATGGCTACTGCTTTGGTCCTTAGCCACTTGCATTTCCCCCCACTTGGTTGTATTCTGTGGAAAGCTCTTAAGTTACGTGGCAAAATGTCAGCCAGCTTTTAATTAATCTATTTTTTCTTGACTTTCTGGAGGGAAATGACTGTGTACTTTCTTAACAACAGCTACTGATTGAAGATCATCTCTGCTATTTATTAACTTGCTGTAGAATATACATTTCTGTTGCATATAAATTATTCATGTTTCAGGTCTTCAGGCGGAAAAAATGTCTAGCTTTCTAAGATTTCCACCTTGGTGATGAGGGTATTGTGTAAAGCCTATACAGATACTCTGAAACAACTTATGAAGAAACTCAATGCTGTTTTATTTATATCCACTTTATCTCACATTCACCCATTTAACTCCATTATTTGTGAATTTAGATGTTGTATGGATCACCTTTAAACTGTTTAGTCTACACTTTTTACACAATTTTGAGGAGTTCAAGTGTAAGTTACACTGTCATCTTTTTGATGAAAAACGTGCTTTTTGCCTTTGGCTACATAAACATTTGTGTAGAACACTTGCATTTATTGATGAATTTCAGGTGTATGTTATCCAGAAGGATATGCAGAACTGAAATGCTGCTGCAAGAGAACATTAGCAGTGCTGGTTAAGAAAATATCTACTGCCATGGGTTATGAATATTTTGTGAACTATAGTCACTGGAGTTTTTTTAGTATGTAAACTGAATCATTAATCATAAAAATCACATGGGCAGCTCTCTAGAACTGCTCTGTCTTTGGCCATTTTATATAAAAACAGCTGAATCTATCCTTCAGAGTATGTTCCTTAAGTCCAGCCTGTCATCTTGGGCAGCATTAATGCAAGAATAGCTGTGTGCCAGTATGTACCCTAAAGACATGGTTAAGAAAAGCCCAAATGCTACTGTTGTGAATTATAATAGAATTATTTTACTAAAGGGATAGGTTAAATCAGTATTACAGTAGTAACATCAAGATCTGTAGTTAAAGCAGTCCAGTGTTCATTGAGGTTGTGATCATCATTCCCATTTTTGTGTAGGTGAAACAGGAGCAGAGAGAGACTGGTAGAAGAAAGAAACCAAACTGTATTATTATAGCATTCAACTGGTCAGCTCCATGGTCTGTCTTCTAAGCTGTGTTTTACTTGGCTAGAGATTTAGTTCTGGTATCTTCCTTTGTGTTCTCTCAGTTTTTTTCTTAGTTTTCATGGCATTTTATCACTTCTTGGTTTGGTTGCTTGACAGAGAATGCTTGGCTCCTTGTATTTTTGCTAAATAAGGGGTGTATGGAGTATAAATAATGTGTACAAACATACATCAGACTTACTGTCTTCTGTACAGTGTCCCTGTTTCCTGGAATATTTAAGTTAGTATCTTGGTTACCTAGCTATTGATTCTGTTTTTCCTTATAATGTCCTTTTTTTTGTCTTTCTCTGGTTGCTTGTTTTGTCCTACTCAGGTGATCTGCTACGGTTGAGATGTTTTGTTAGCTTAGTATTCTCTGTTCTGACTTGCTGTGCAGATTGAGAACATTCTTCTGTATCACTGAGTTCTTTATGAATCTTTCAAAGGAATTCTAATGTGCTGTTGCAGTATATTTTTATGGAACTTTAAATGTGGTTTTCTGTTCCTACATTGCCCAAGCTCTGTGCTGTGGTCCTGAGCTGCCTGAGCAATGGCTACCAGTTCTTGTATAGAGTAAGTTGTTTTCTGAGGTTTAAATAGGAAGTTGGTTTTATCAAGCCTGCTTTGAGTATGTACCTTGGACTTAATTAGTCTTAAGAAACTTGGGTGTTGCTTTGCTAATTTTGACTAAAACACTGAAATGAGGCTAAATGAGGTTCTTCGGTTGTTTTTGAGAACACACTGTAGCACATGTAATCAGTCTGACAAACCTAAATATTTAAAAATATCTAAAAAAAGTATTAAAAAAAGAGAAAGAAGGATGAGCTAAGCCTGAAATGGAAAGTATTGTAGTGTGTTTTATCAGTTTTTATTTCTGACATTCATCATTTTAGTACTACTTGATAATCTTCACCTCCTGTTTTGCAGCAGGTGAGGTTTTCTCATTTTAAGTAATGCTTATTTTGAAGTCGTTGGGTTCTGTGGCAAGAGGCAGATTTCACAGTAAATTCTGTTGGTGAGGTCAAAATGGTTGGAGTTCTCCTAGTTTTACCCGGAAAGTCTGCATCTTTCAAGTAATTTACTTAGTTTTCACGATTGTAGAGTTGAAATTAAACCCCTCTCACTGTCCTTCCCAATACACCTGTGCCATGAGTAATATAGTTTTAATTGTTAGATTAGAAGTGGACAGAAGCTTGTGAGAGTAGGTACAGCAGGCACAGGAGTGAGGAAGTTGTATTGAAACTGGTTCTGTCTAATCAGAATTAGCTTTTAAATTTTGGAGGGAGAGGAATTGGGAGTTTTTCCTCACCTAGCTTGGTGCTTAAGTACTCCTTAAAATTTTTTTGAGTTACTGGAATAGCTGTTTGTGAACTGATTGAAAGGCTTAGTCAGACTGTTTCTGTAATTGGGCAAAATGGAATTAGTCTGGATAACCTTGTAGCCAGTCAGTCAGTCAGTCCTTCAGGCAGTGGAAAACTGTTCTCTGTAGCTCCATCATCCCTGGGCTCCACCATTTGTGTAGATGGCAACAGCTGCATCAGTTACCTGATAGCTGTGAATCTTGTCAGGCTCTTAGGAGGATTTTAAAGAATGTAAATAATCAGCTTTTACCCCCTACTTGCAGCTTACATCACTTCAGTTAAGCTATTTACTTCTGTTGAGAACAAATGCCACTAATATTTTGAACACATTACTGTCCTCATGCTGTGCAAGTGTAAATTTTTATTGCCTTGCTGAAACCCCAAAGCACAAACTTGATGTTTAACTGGAACAATGCTTAGTGCATTGATTTTACTGTCTTGTCCCAGAGGCAACTTCTTAGTACAGATAAAGTAAAATGCTGAGCAATACCCAACAATTCCTGTGCTTCAAGAAAAGATTAACTATTTTTAAACCAGGTATGACAAATCCTTGTCTGATGTCTTTTGCTGGAGATCTTTAGGTGATTTGACACTTTCCAAAGACATCTGCTGTAAAAACAATTTTTTTCTTATTTGTCCTCTTATCCTTTTATTCTGATCTTATTGGACAAGGCAAACAATTTATCCTTTCCTTTCAGTTTTCCCTGTATTCCTTTCCCCTCCCACCAGATGAAGGAATTTTGAGTTATTTCAGTCTACCATTACATGTTACACCCTTATTGGTCTTACTGCTCTCCACTTACACTCTCTTCAGTCATCCTGTTTGTGTCCTGGGCAGTGTTTGCCTAGAGTATTGATGTCAAGGACTGTGAGAAGATGGCTATAAGCGTCTTGCAGATTATTGCTCTTAGTTATCTATTCCTTCTCTTTTTTTCAGAGCAGTTTGTGATCTCCTGTAGCAGCAGCTCCTGTAATTGAGTTACTCCTCTTTTCATATTTATGCAGTTCGTTATATATGTGTGAGCATAGTTTTCGCTTTTGTTCAAATTGAATTACAATTTTTTTCATTCAGACCCCTTCTCCAATTTCAAGATCTTGTTAGTTTTGATCCTCTCCTACAGTAGACTTGCAGCTTTGTGGTACTTGCAGGTTTCATGAGGATACACTATGTTCAAAGGAAAGATATGAAGGATATGATTGATATGATTACATGAGCACAGACAAGACTGCCCCCTCTTTGTTCTTATTAGACCATGTTTTCTGTAGCAGTTTTGAGAACATAATGCAAATGTCAAATGTTGAGATTGTACTGGTCCTCTGAAAAAGCCTATCCAGTCATAGAAAAGTTAGTTTGACTTGACTGGTTTTCTTCACGTCCATGTTTATTAGCTTTTATTATCTTCTTTTCTAGGTGGTTGATGGTTGTATGTAGCTAAGTATTTTTTCCGGAAATTGAAATTAGGTTATATGGTCTCTAACTCTTCTGTCTTCTCTTGACACCTATTTCTTTAAGAGGGTGTGTTACTGTCTTCCAACATTGAAGGATTGACTTTGTGGTTTTGAATTAAAATCATAGAATGGCCTGCATTGGAGGGGAGCTTTAAAGGTCATCTAGTTCCAACCACCCTGCCATGGGCAGGGACACCTTCCACTAGACCAGGTTGCTCAGAGCCCCATCCAACCTGGCCTTGAACACTTCCAGGGATGAGGCATCCACAACTTTTCTGGGCAATGTGTTTTGGTGCCTCACCACCCTCACAGTAAGAATTTCTTTGTAATATCTAATCTAAACCTGTCCTCGTTCAGTTTGAAGCCATTCCCTCTTGTCCCGCCCTGTGAATTGTCCCTCTCCAGCTCTCTGGTAGCCTCCTTTAGGTACTTGAAGGTTCCTGTAATGTGTCCCTGGAGCCTCTTCTCCAGGCTGAAGAATGCTAGTCTGTCTATGAAGGATCTGTTTTCATAGGAGGGGTGCTTCAGTGCTATGATCATCTTTGTGGCCCTTCTCTGGACTTGC